GGGAGGGGCGGAACAGTGACTGCACTTGTAACACTTCCAACCGCCCGTTTTGCTCCCGAGCAGTCACGGTCATTAACTAAAGACACAGGTGAAACTTCCAGGCCTAAGGGACCTTGTGTTCTCACTTCCTATTGCACATGCCCCACCCTGGAGACCCCACACATCACCCTTGCTAAGTGTGCTGAGCGGCAGAGTCGGATCTGTGCTAGGACCGAGTGAGAAATGGGGGGGTGGGTAGTGCCTGCAGGAGCCACTGACCCGCAGTTGTTGGAAGGGGCTTCCGTAGCCATTGGCCTCCCTTGCTCACGGAGCTGCCGGCATCCAGGATGCGGCGCAGCGCCACTGGGCCCAGGCCAAGTTACCTGAGCCCGCTTCTGTCTGCCAGTCTCCAGAAGTGACATCGAACCTTGTTTTCCTTGTGGTGCCACAAGCCTGTGCCGAGGGGCCCTCCCTGGGTGGGGGCGAGCGTGCTGGGCACTGTCTCTGGATGAGTTGGCAGCTGGCAAGCACAGTGATATGGAAATCCTCGCGGACCGCAGGGAGGCAGTGGCATAGGAGCCCAGGCGGGGAGAAGGCCCCATCCTGTCCCCGCTGCTCTCTCCCTGTGCACCGTGGGTGACTTGCATTCTCCCTCTCTCCAGGAACCTTAGCACACCCGGGAGAGGGGGGGACCAGTGGCAGTCGGCTTAGAGACCTACCAGGTTAGCCTTTGATACTGAACCCCGCCCCGTGGACCCCTGTGTGTGCGTCACTTGTATCTCTGTGCTGGTTCTCGGTAAGGTGGGTCTCCGGGGAACCTTAACCAGCATTAGCTAAGTCTCCACGGCACCCCCGTCGCAGCCAGCACCTGCCCAGCAGCACCTGCTGTGACCCTTGCTTGGTTCATTTGTTTGTTTGTCCTGTTTGAGGGTCCTGTCTGGAACTATGGCTTGTCTCTCGTCCATGGCACCTTGCTCCCATGCAGGCTTTTCCAGGTGGCAGGCAAGTCTTGTTTCACTTGAGCTCCAGCTATGCTCTGCAGCATCCGTGTCTGTGGCATTAAGTGGCCTCAGACAAACTGCTGGTGTGCTGCACCACCTGTGTTCTGAGCCCTGCACCCAGGTGTTGCCCCAGATCTGGGGCAAATGCACCCAGCGGCCTCCGTCGCTGCAGGAGCAGCCAGCAAGCCGTAGCCTGGGTTGCTGTCCGATTCGGACAGTGCACCATGTGGCCACTCCCAGATCTGCATGAGCGCAGGGATGGGGGTAGGGCTGTCAGGGTATCGCAGCAAGAGTGGCACCTTGTCCTGTCGGGTGTTTGGTGAGTGACTCAGAGTTCAGGAAGAGGAGTTGCCCTCTTTACCTGCCTTTCTGGACACAGGTGAGACAGAAAGTACCAGAAGTCAGAGCCGCAGTTGCTACACATCAGAGTTCTGACAAAGCAGACCTTTCCTTCATCATAGAGAAGTAACAGCAGTGGCTGAAATGCACTGTCTCTTTCCCTAAGATGCTCTCCTTTCAAAGGATGGAAAACAAAAGATAAGCCTGGAAACGGAGCTCATTTGCATAATGCGGTGTTTGCATACTGTTGTATTTTTTTCACATTAAGAAAATGTGTGTCTTCCATAGACCATTAAAGCAAGAATTTGTCTGATGTGAGGGAAAAGCTTCACAATGTGTCGTCCGATGGGCTTTTCTCAAGCTTTTGCTCAGCAGGACCTGTCCTGGCTGTGGCAGGTGGTGGTGTAACGCGTCTGAGTGGTCCCTGTACTGCCTTGACAATCACTCTGTATTAGTGAACAGCACAGGTTCACGTCCAGGCGCTCAAGCGAAACACAGTCCGCCCGCCTCCCATGCCGGTGACTGTGGATGCCACCCAGGAAAAGCCACCCTGCATCGGGGACTGGCCCCTGACAGCTCTGCCCCAGCTCCGCTTTCACTGGGTGGAGGCCACATTCGAGCCAAGAGTAGTACAAGTGATTTCTCACCATATGCTGGAGGGACTCGTGAGAGAGAAAGCCAAAGCTCACGGGCACACTGCGCCTTCCAGGCCGTCAGGCCCGGGGCTGGTGAGGCACCTGCTCAGGAGGGAGACTCACCTGGACGTTTAGTGACCCAGGGTGGCAGGGTCTTTGTGATCTGATGGGACAGCATGGCCTTCGCCAAGCAGATGGCAGATGCCCCAGGTCTGGTGGTCCCATTCCTGTGAACCCGTGCTAAGGGAATTTAGCAGAAAGAGGGGGAAAAGCTACATTACTAAGGATCACTAAATTATCTACAATATCAAAAATAATGAAGTAAATTGTGATAAATGAACTGGGTGGAATATTACGTCGTCACTACAATATGCGTGAACATGTTTTGCATACTAAGCACACGTACTGTGTACATGTTTTGCATATTAAGCACACGTACTGTGTACATGTAAACGTGTATACAGGGGTTCGTGTAAATGCACCTGTATACAGGGCTTCGTGTAGATGCACCTGGGCTGCACATCGGGGTCACCTGAGAACTTCTGTGGCCTGAGCACCCCCTCCCTGGGACATTTTGGTTGTCACACTGGCTGTATTTTGGGGGCCAGAGTGCTGCAGAACATCACAGCACCCAGGTTGGCCCCCACAGAGAATGACCTGGCCCATGTGTTGCCAGTGCCCAGTCTGAGCCCTGGGATGTGGGTGGGGTTCCTTAGACACACTCGGGCTCCATGTGTGGCACAGTGAGAACCCCACCAGATTCACTGTAGAAAACAGCAGGTTTCTGTGGTTTGTCTGTGGCCTCAGGGATTTGTGTGCTTGCCAAACACTTACTGACTCCAGGTGCGGTCTGTGGGCTGGAGTCCAGGCCCCAGAAATGAGGATGACACTGTATGTCCTGAGGCCCTTGCTCTGGAGGGGATGCACCCTGTGACCCACACTGTCATGCCCACTTGCACAGGGGACCTGGGGTGGGGCAGTTCTGGGCATCCAGTAGACTGAGTTCTGGGATTGGTGCTCCAGGAGGGCCGTGGGCAGTGAGGGCTGCCTTCTGTGGCTTGTGCAGGTGACAGACCCTTGAATCGGGGAAGGTACTGCGGGGCAGGGGAGGGGGGTGAGGGGCAGAGCAGAGAACAACACTGAGAGAGGGCTGGGGGCTTGTGCTGGGTGTAAGGCCCCGAGATCCCTGAACCAAGGGGAGAGTCCAGGTGGGTTGGGCAAGGACAGGCATCTGGAGAGGTGCCAGTGCCATGCAGGTGCCCAGTGGCCCCGCTGCGTGTGCTCACCTAGAGCATGCCGCCAGGAGAGCCGAGGGACGTCCTTGGCACCTGGAGGGAGAGTGAGTGGGACAGAGCGAGCAGGGCTGCTGGAGTTCCTGGGGGAGCATCGCGGTTCCTTGCGAGGCACATTGAGTGCCGTGGGGAAACGGGGCATGGAGGATGGCAGGGCGAGGCTCCCTGGTGAAAGGAGGTGAGTTCAGTGTCTGCTTTTCACACGAGAACCAGCCGCTCCAGCCTGTGCTCGGGCCGAAGCTGCAGCAGCACAGGTGACGCGGCTTCCTGGCCGTGCGGTCCTCGGGCGTCGCCTCCCTTCCCCTTGGCCCCTTCCCGTGGCTGCACCGTGGAGCCCGCGTCCGATGCCGTTTCCCTGTCTGCTTGCTTTCCGGACAGACGACAAGACATTCCAGTGTGAGATGTGCCTCAGGTTCTTTTCCACCAACAGCAACCTGTCCAAGCACAAGAAGAAGCACGGGGACAAGAAGTTCGCCTGCGAGGTCTGCAGCAAGATGTTCTACCGCAAGGACGTCATGCTGGACCACCAGAGGCGCCACCTGGAAGGTGGGCACACCTGCGGCGGGGGGG